AAAAAATATTCGTTCTTAAATTTAATTAATTGTTTTAAGTATTATTTATTTTCATTTTAAATGCATTCTTTTTATGTGTGCCAGCATATTCGATTTTTTATTAAACAGTTTGCCACATTTTGTGCATAAATGTCTCATTTTTTTCTGATGTTCTTCTAAGTGTATTTTTAAATCCTCCACACTTTTTCTTGCTCGTTTACATATAGGACAAAGCAGTTCCGGACTTGTTATATGTTGCTCTATATGATACTTTAGAAGAGTTGCTTGTCGAAATGTTTTATTACAAAATTTACATGAAAATTGTTTTTGATCTGAATGGGTTAATTCATGTACTTTTAATGTTTTACGTGCACTAAATGTTTTATCACATTGTGGGCATTTATAAGGACGCAGTCCTTGATGTATAGCCATAATATGATCATTTAAATTGTATATTCTCTTAAATATCTTTGCACATAGTTCGCATATGTAATCTTTTTCATTTGGTCGTTTTCTAGAATCTGCGTGAGTATGTATATTTTTTGTGTGTCGTATTAAACTATTATATAAACTGTATGAATTTTGACAATATTCACACATATACGGTTTATTTGCACTTTTATGTTCAAAATTTATATGTGCTTCATACTTTAAATTGCTTCGAAATATTTTAGCACATTCTTCGCATTTGAAGGATTTTTTAGTTTTTTGACTAGTCTTTTCCAGTCGCAATTTCTTGTCATTTTCATCACAAATATTATTTTTGTGTACATTTTTGGTTAAACAATTTATATCAAGGGCATTTTTATGTTTATTTAATTGTTTAGTTAAGAATTTTTCATTCAGATGTTTTTTATCTAAACCTTTTTCAAGATTTTCGTAGTTTGTTTTGTCGTTTTGTTCAATAGATGCAACTGATAAATATTTTTCCACGGGCATAATTCTTTCGTCAGTGCAGTTACTATTTTCATTTTGGAAACTATCGATTTGGTTTGAATTAGATTCTTTACTTGGTAAAGATGGTAATTGCTCCGCAAAAATTCCCAGAAACAGTTGTGAAACCTTTATTGAATTTGAAAATTAAAATCATTTTTAAATATTTATGTAAATGAACGCAATATACCTTTGATAAGTTTTTATCCCGATGTAATTTATTATTATCACTCGCAGTTTCCACAATGTTTTCTAGATAATTTAAAGACTCACACGCTATATTCTTAAACTCAGCAAAATTTTGCAATTTTGCTTTACAGCGCAAACAAATATTTTTTGGATATATACAACTATCATAATATGTTCCTTTTACAACTTTTTCCATTTTAATACCAACGCAATCATCGATTGTATTAGGGTATACAGTTTCACCACTTCCAGTTTTAGGCTTTTTAAATCTAAACTTTTTGAGACAAATTCTACAAAACAATTGTAAGTTATGAATCATTTTATCTGAAAGTCTTTCTGAAAGAATCTCTTTTAATACCATGCTGCTACATAAGGACCTTTGTTGAAATTCATAAAATATTTGCACTCTTACAGCACAGCTGTTACAGATCTTATTTGGATAAGCACTGTGTGTTTTAAAATTGCATATTTTCCGAAATATTCGCAGATGATTGGTTTCTTGATTAATATCTAATAAATCACATTTTCTTTTACTATCCTGCATACAAACATGACAAAATGTATCTAAAGTTGCGCTTGTAATAGGTAACATTTTAAAACTTAATAAAAATTCTTATGTATTGAATTGTTAAATATTGATGTTTACAATTTATGTGAGCTGTCAAAATTTAATTCACAATAACGAATGCACTGTGGGCTCATCAACAGCATTCAAATAAAAAAAATAATGCCATGTGCATACTAAAACTTATGAAACCTCTTTTGCATATTTATATACATATATACATTGTATGAAAAATTATATAATATAATAATCAAAACATTTTATAAGAGTAAACGGGTTATATAAAATAGATTAAGCGAAAAGGATAATATTGTTTTAGTTGTTACCTTTATTCGATGCAAAATAATTTTATATAGAAAAATTTGAAGGCTCAAGTAGGTATCTGAGCATGCAGTGTTCCCATTCAACAAAAAGTAAAAATCATTGATTATTGTGACTCACACAATATAAATATATTGTCGCCTTTGAAAAGCTTGTTACGTAGGACACATTGTACCCTGTCTTAAGATGCAAGCACACCAAAGCGAACGCTTGCGAACGAACGAACTTTTGCAAGTACGATTACCTGCGAATATTCGTTCGTTCGCTTTGGTGAGGATCCACCTTAATAGGAACTAAATAGATCAGCTGAATTCATTTTTTTGAATTCTTAATTCAGATATCTATCTACCAAGTTTTAAGATTCGATTGCATAAACAATATAATGGTTTGTTTACAATTGAAATCATAATAAATGTTATTTATTATAATAAATATTATGATTCAAGCTGCAACCTAAACGCAATACATATAAAAGTATCACTAAATAAATGTGTAAAAATTTAAGTCTTCGTTTTTTCAATAATGCAAAAGCAATAATTTAAAAAAACATTCCAGTTGCGAACTATGACAAAAAAATTTTATACATTATAGCCTATTTACCCAGGTAAAGTATTTGTACTTTTGGCCATTTCGCTGGTTTTGGTAAAAACATAACAAATTATAATTTTACACAATATAAGAAAAAAATACAATAAAAGACTGACAGAACATGTTAACCCCTTAGCAGGGAATCCAAGCTTTATCTAATCTGATAAAGCTTGTCACATAATAAACCACCTAACACTCACTGCAATGAAATTTAACCCATTAATTTAAGTGAGGTCTGTGATATAAGGTTTTCTTATTTTACTTTATATTATACAATATATAGTTAAAATGGAAAATTGTAATATTATGTAATTAGTGATAAGATTTTTATAAATTTATAATGGATGATATAGACCAGGGGTGTCCAAAGCACGGCCCGCTGCTAATGTTTGTGCGGCCCGCAATATTTTGATCTGCAATTA